TAAGTTGTATGTATACAGGAGTGCCTGGAAAAAATAAGAATTATCTGATAATGACCCAGATGGTGTTATCGTGCAAACCCATGTTTGGTCGTAAGGTTATATAATCAATTTCTGCTTGGCACCAATTGGCACTCCGCGAAACTTTTGAATTGCACACGACCGTCTTCGACCTCCACCTGCCTAATAAAGCACCAGCCGGTCCCGTCGAAACCCTTCAGCATCCATTGACAACTCATAAACGTTTAAACGGCGATCTGCTCGTTATTCTGCATACTTACCCAGCAACCGACCTTCATAATGCATCTTGTTGGTACACTATTTCGCGCACAAGGATGCTGATCATACATCCGCTATCGCGCGCGGCGAACCTTACATCCATTTCATCAGAGCCACCTGTGTGCATCAAAGAATCTTATTATTGGATAAACAGAAGAAATATCGGATTCACACGCGTCCACATGCTCATGACTCCGAGTCAGCGCTCTCAGCAGACTTGTTGTCCCCATTTCTTGGCAAGTCTTTCAAGGGTCGATCGATATTACCTGCAGTGGTCCGAAGCTCATCGGCCCTAATCGGGCGGCTTTAAAGGCCATTCGGAGTTCTACTTCGACGGACGTTCCCCCTCAATCTTTCCGGTGCCAGATCTCTGGGTGCGTGTCTGCGCACCTTGTGGGTCGATCAGACCCTTTTCTAACTTGCTTCATCGTCGCCTCATTGATATCCTGTAGGTAACTGTTTCTCATAGAATTAGATGGATGTACGAAATGCATCACCCCTGTCCGAGCCTGTCTTCTTATCTGATAAGGTACATACATGACAGCCATGACAGGAAGTTCCGGTTTACTACATTGTAACCAACCAACTGCACAATACCATAATAATAAGGTTAACACTTTCGGCACCCGTGCTTGCCACATTGCAAATAGAGGCGACTGGCTGCATCAACTAGAGTCGTTCGGAGGGCAACTTGTTTGCTCCAAAACAGGCAAGATTCACATCTGTAGGTATTTTAAATATCCCACAGTGATACGTGTCCACCTCATAATGACAGATGTCGAGCACTTGCCGGGCTGCCCGGGCACAGACTTGACAAGATGTCTTGTCTCGTGCGCTGGACATCTTCGTCTTCAAGCATCCAGTGGAAAGGTCTGCCATGGAGGTAACTAGCGATGACGACACGAGACTCATGGTGCAGGCTATTCTGAAGATGGGTATCTTTCCGAACAATGTGCTAATTATTGCCATTGGTCTATAAAAACCAAGCCAAGGTCCGACTGACATGTTAGTTTCTCTCAGAGCCATTGTTTGATGCGTCGTTTCATCACAATCTCAGGTACATAGCTTCCACGGCAGAACGAAAACAACGCGTATCATCAACACTGATCCACCAACATTGATATTGTAACCTGGAAGAATATGTGAGCACACCGGAATGATGCGACATTTCAGCCCCCTAAATGCACAGAAGACAGACATGTGGCGAATCGCAATTTATGCCCTAAGCGACGCTTTCTTTCGTCATTTAACGCAAAACGACCCTTGGTGTTAAAGACATATCAATAGCACCAGGCGCTGTCAAGCCAAAATATTTATCAGCACTGATCGGTCAGTCAACCTTTAATTACCCCTGGACCCCATTCATTCAACAGACTTACATAAACCTAAGGTGGTCCCCAAGCGATCCCGGAACGTCTAGCTCGAGACTAGGTGGAATCCTATATGTTTACTGACATGTCCATCCGTCGTAAATCGCATTCGCGGCGAGCTCGTTTTTACTGCCTTGGGGTCACTGAGGGTGGGATTGTCCGATAGGTATCAAGTTTAGGATCGGATCATAGGTGTGATCAACTTGATATCCACAACGTACGCGTTTAACCAACTATCGGTGACAGGGGCTACCTGAGGCACATCGTCAATTGCCTGAACCGCAAACATGGGTTCTGACAGCTTGATAGGCCATGCGTGCCTTCTTTAGCTTTTAAGAGTACGATAACACAGACCCTTGAGCTTCTGATGAAGATGTCTCAATATAGCAGATCAAGCGCGCACGAGCAGTCGATGCATCACGTACCTGATAAGTGTCAAGTCCAGCAACAGGTTTCTGGAAGGAATATGTCGGTAAGAGGAAATAAAAATATTATTGTACCTGAGAGGTAACTCTCTGAATCATCACGATGCCTCCGCTTTCAATTGTCTGCACGGCTCTTCGTGCAGCAGCCCATCCAGGATGTGAACACAGATTTTGGAGTCGAATCTTTGTTTGCCGTTCGTTTGAACGTGATCGCGGTGTATCCTGCTACCATGCGATTAGCACCGGCTGACGAGTAAGTAGACGGAGCGTTACAGACGTGAGACGACGCTTGGCAAGCGCGCCCTGCATTCTACATCATGATATAGAGTTAGGACAGAAATTGGAAACGCGCGCCCCAGCCAGGATTGAGTTGTTTGCCTTTGTTGTTCAACTTCCTTGTTTTGGAAACGGTAATACTTAGATGTTGAATTCGTGGGGCATTCAAGTTCGCGCTGCTGCATGAACCAGAATAATCACAAGCACCGATCAGTGTCAGAGTCAGCGACTGAGCGCTGAGCGCGAGCACTGACTACTGAGTAACCACGGCGCATCGAACGCCATATCGAACATGGCCGACCAAATATGAATTCCCAAGATGGGTGGGCCCCTTGCCAGAAGTTAGAACCCTGAGGCACAACTCAGATTGCGGGTCAATCAAGACACCGCCGAGGAACCAAGAGAGAGAAAAACAAATATTATGGTGTGCTCTGACAGACCCTGACCCGCTCCCAACAAGATCAATCACCAGGGCCTTCTGAGGACCCTTATTTCAGAATCAGCTTACTGATCTTGACAGTGAAACTTATTAGTTACCTGACAACCCTGGAATATAAAATTGACATATCTTACGAGCTGGTAAGCCTTCCAAAAGGATAACCAACCAGGCCTGGCGGGTCAAAAATTCCCATAGCATGCCGTGCACTACACACCGTAAGAGCGTTTTCTTCGGATAGGTGTGTCAGAGGCTATTTAGCACTTGAGCTTGAGGTGCAATTTAGGTATGTTTTGACGTTTTGATCGAAAACAGAATAAGCGCCAAAAATGACCACCGCAGGGGTCGAACCTGCAATCTCCTGATCGCCGTGTCATCGTAGTCAGACGCGATGCCATTTCGCCAGGCGGCCATGTGTGGATGGATAGACCTCTAGATGTTCAGGGAAAATGTCCAGTGGAATACATGAGTACATAAGACAGTGGTAGCATCTGGATAAAGGGTAGAGGCCGTTACTGGCCTGGTATACTGTTATTACAGGGGTATGGGTATAGGATTGTTTAGCATAAAGTTATCCCACATAAACCATCGAGGTATAAAGAATGAAAAAGACTACACCTTGTAAAATGTCTTTATATCAGAAAGAGGATTCAGTCTTAGCACCAGTCTGCTGCGGCTCTCCACTCGGGAGCCTCTCTAATCCAACATAAGCATACACCTGCTCGCGCGCCGCAGGTATTGAAGCCCTCAGACGGCGCTGACATCCCCGAAACGTCCAGCTGCCTTTCTGAGTTCAAGCCTGTCCCAAGCACGAACAGCCTGCCTAAGCGAGCCACGGCGGCGTGGCAGCATCCAAGACCTTGCACGCAAGGAAGTAAAGCCTAAGCAAGGGTAGCGCTAGGGCTCAGTGACTATATTTGAAGTACAAGCGGCGATACTGACCTGATGCCGTGACGGTTCCTTGGCTGACGGGCTGAGGCTTTGGGGATTTGGCGCGCTTGACGAACCCCTTCAGGGACCCGTAGAACCAGAATGCGTGAAGAGGGAATATGCAAGCCATAATCAGGCCTGGACCATACGAATCATTCGTGACATGGTGCCGGCTGGCGACCATCGATACACATAGAAATACATGCAGGACAATACGAGTCGCAAGAAATGACATTGCGAAAACCACGTCCGAGCGGAAGCGAGGGTTGAGACTCGCAATGGCGAGGAGGAAGGTAGGTATCTGTATTAAGTTAGCGCTCTTGTGAGCTATAAGAATTGGAGTTTCACCTCCATCACAGCACACAGTGCAAACAAATGACTCCAGCCCTGACGACAGGCATACTCGACGATGAAAATGTATATCGTGTGATGAATCCAGCCTGTTAGCAAGTTAACCTTGCTACGGTAGTAAATTACACCCATCAATAGGTCTCTATAAATACATCATATGAGCGCACGTTTCAAAAGCGGAAACTCGGACCTACGCGACAAGATAAGCTTGAAAGAATCGACCGGTGCTCTCCGTCCAGGGTGTTGACCTTATCCCTCTTAAATCTCCACGAGAACTGGCGTAGAGAAAGAAAAGAGGTAAACTTGACAGAGACATCGCAGCGCTACTGATTGTGGTCAATATCCATGATTGTTGTTTCACGGTGGAACATAAAGGTGCAAAAATGTGATAAGCCACTGTCAGCGCCAGAAGTGAGTACAAAAACGCAGGGGGTATCGCATCCTCGATGGACACGTCGAACATGGCACGGACGTGAAGGGGCGAGAGAAGGAACCAACGTCCCGCTCATCGAGCTGTAATTTTAAAGAGCCTAATAATGGCAGTTTATGGCACGTTTACCGATATGGTGCCAAGCCCTGGCAAAAACTTCGCAGCCTGAAAAAGCCATTTTCGTCAATACAAAATGCAGTCATTCGCTGTCACACGGACGCACTCGGGGGGACTGCATCACCCTAGAGTCTGCTACACCAACGTGAAGGGACACAGTGCCATGTACAGCTTTCTGACAGCGACAGTACTACTAGTAATAAGACCCAAGAACGCCTGCTACTGAGTTTTGACTGTGCACGTTGTTCGTGTTAAACGAACGTGCCACGTCCTACATGTGAAAATTTGGTCATAAGTGATTCACCAGTAAATATACTATTGGTTACGCGTTATCGACTTTAATTATCGCGTTCTTCTCTGCAGCATTCAATTTTACAGTAATTGTTTATGTATTGGAATTGCAAAGTTCGAGTCCAGCTGGGGACCCTAACCCTACGCATCACCAGGCGCTTCAAACGTGAACTTCATTTGTCTCGTTCCATCAAAGTTTCACAAGAACTTTACCGTCGCCTATCCTTTTACTGTGGCGACAGATACTCAGAAACTGGAATAGTTCAAGGCTACGATGTCTGCGGGAATGGGAGAAACTTTGCGAACACGAGCAATAACATCCACATTGACTGCACGCTTGTCCCCGACTGTGCCATCTGCTTCTCAAACTTACGAGCCCCTTGTTAGGTCCGCCCTTCGACAGCGACTCACCCACAATATATTCGTGTTCTCTGTTGCATTTACCTTAGTTGTCAGCATTCTTTTGGGGGGAGAGGATGAGACGAGTGCTTTCGCCAGGTTGCTTTCACCTGGAACTTGGACGATAGCGTGCCTCAAGTGGCTCGTTGGCGTGTTGCCTGTGATTGCTATGAGAAAGGTTTACCTTACCTGTGAGTTGCTTCACCTCGTGGGCATGCTGTCTTATATCTGTTGCATAGCTGCCGCCACACCTGCAACTTCACCAGCCAAAATGCTCGCGAATGCTATTGCAAAACCAAGCACACGACAGTGCTTGGCAGTGTACATGTCATGTACATTGATGCTTTTTACGCTCTATATGAGCTCGTTTACATCGGAAGAACGCGAAATCCTTCGTCTGAATGTCTTCGTAAAGTCAAGGTATGTGATTCAGCAATCTTACTGGATGTGCTCGAAAGAGAGTTGCGCGTGCACGATCTCATCCCGAGTATTGTTAAATATTGGAGGCTGAGACTTTTACCAGGAAACATCCGTATTACCTCAATGGTCGACTGCTCTTCCTCATCCTGGCCCAGTTGTGGTTGGCCGCTAGTTTCTTGCTTCGAAATATCATGTTAGACCGTTTTGTGTTCAAGTGGACGAAACCTTTGAATTCGTCGGAACTTGTCAGTGTTTTCGTTCCTTTCTGAACCAAGTTTGATGATCCACTCGTAGCCATATGCCACAAGCAATCTTCTGAAGCTGGTCTTAACAATGGCTCTCTTCACCTCATTTTCATTGATGATGTATAGCGTCGCTTTTGGTCTATCGCGGATGCTTGTTCTTCCGCTGCTCTTAAAGCTTCCAGCGGTAAGCAACATCATCCGACCGTTTGTTGCACATTATGCAAAGGGTACATGGACTCTAACTCTACCTATATTACACTGGTCGCTTTTGGTTCGTTCATTTATGATGGGCCTTGTGACTCTGATGAGTTGGGAGTTCGCGGAGTCGCTATTCGACGCATATGTTCCCCAGGTAGTTATCCTTTTGCAACGGCAAATCTGCATTCTGAGGTCTTTTTCAGCCGATCAAAGTTGGTAACCTTACTGCAGACTCCAATGTGACAGTTGTCTCGGGGATTACGACTCAAGACGCGGTGTTCGCACATTTCGCATACTCTGAGTTAGCAGAGCTGGCTTCGGACGAATCCTCGGCAGGGAACGCACGTAGAATAGCCCTATTTGGTGACCAAAAATATAGCCCGAGCTTGTGGAATGTCGTGGCCCGCCAATCACTCCTCCGTCTTGGACAGGATTATCAAACATTCCTGCGACGCGGCGCACCGATCACTCCTCCTGTCGTTGTAGCGCCGACAATCCCCAAACCCAAGGATCCGCCATCGACCCCTCTGATCCGAAAGGCTATTTTCAGGGCTCCACGACAATCTCCTCTTAGCAGTATGCTGGATTCGGTTTCGTCAGATTCGGAGCTCTCGAAGGCTGCTGATGCAGTGGCAGGCGAAATGGAGGGACGGGCCAGTCAAATGCACATTCCAGAACTCTTCCGGTCTGTAGCGCCATCATCTGCGGCTGCCCCATCAGCCAATGCTGTTGTGGCCAAACCTGCATCGAGTATTATATCAAGCTTCATTGCACAGGTGGAATCGCACAGTAGGGGTCTTGTTATGGGCTATTGTCCAGTCTGGTTGAAGGAGTCGGCGATGAGATGGAATCAATGGTTTTATCGAGAGCGCTTGAATAAGGCCGTTGAAGTTTGCCTGCCAAACAGGGAGCTTGATTCACTCATTATTGAAGGTGCGGCCGACTTCCATACTTTATATGCAGCTATTGAACTCAGCAACAGCGCTATCGCACTTCGTCTGTACTTCCCTGAGCGAAGATCGGTATGGTGTGGTTCAAAGGGACATACCACGCATCATCGAAGCTTTCCTCTCGTTTTTATCTGCAATCGAAGAGTATCAGATCGAAGTGAATGGGAAATATACACCACCGACGCCTGATGAACTCTCTCAAGGCGACACAAAAATATTGGAAGAAAAGGAGATGATGCGTTTAGAAGTTGCCAGAGCCGGTGACGTACTGGTCGTTGTCTCAGATGGTTTGTGACTTCATGCCTCGCCCCGAAATTGGTTAATAATTCATATTTTACAGCACTGAAAACTGGGGTGGCAAACATATCGCGGACGTTCGGCGATAAGCTAGTTGCTTTCAAGTTTCCCCCTCGGACTGCACGGAAACTACAGTCATTTGTTGACTACACTTAGTGTCTCGGCGAGTTGGAGCCGTGGATGATGAATCCCTATGTCCTATAAATCCCAGGCACCCTGGGACTGCTCCCGTATTTGCATCTCGTGAGGTAATAATGGGCAGCGTTGTTGACACTTCGGTAACTGAGGGCAAGCAGTCCCTACACTGTATCTATCCTTCGAGCTTCAGAACGTCAAGCTATCTATCGCAATCAATAATCCTGTGCACCGCTTGCTTTACAGTCACAAAAATACAGTTTGCCAAATAAACATGGAGAATTCAAGAAGTTATCGACGAGCCGCGGACAAGAACTCGATAGTACTTTTTTGCCCAACATGTGCATGAGTGACGACAGGAGAGAACGTGCGTCGTGAACGTGTGCTTATCGCATTCATCGACATATCTTTTAGCACGTTTTGGGTGAAGCTCTAACCTGGCATAACTTCTTGGCTGTTATCGATTATCGCCGAACAGCAGGCTAGATTGAGTGAAGTAGTTGCGTGAACGTTCCCATCCGATGGCACAACGTGGTCACGTGATTCTCCTTTGTTCACGTCGACGAAGGACCACTTGTTTGGATTTCATTGCATGTCAGAATGGTATCTGTCGAACGAACAATATTAGCAATGCACTTGGTGGGCAAGTTGACAAGTACCAGTAGCCCACTGCACTAGATCGTCCAACCGCTCCAATTGAGGGTAGGTACTGAACCATTTCTTGATATTGAAGGCCCCCTGCATTGATCGTTTCTAAATTCCCAACAGTCATACGCGTAATCTGAGGTTTAGAATACACCGACACCCCGTGGATAATCTGGAGGACATTATCAACTGCAAGTAGCGGCTGACCACTCCTGCGCGATGCTTCGCAGTCAGCCTCCACTGAATCAGTTGTCATATTTCATGGCTGCTCTTCAAGTTGATAACGTCCCACCAACTTCCTCTTCTCAGTGATTGCCATGCGTTTCACCGACAGATCTTCGTCTATGCCTGTCTCTTCCGTCCCTCTCGCCAAATCCCAGACTCCCATTCGGCGTGTAACTTCTCTCTTGCGTTCACCGCTTCAAATCGGTATACATTCCCGTCCACGTTCACACTCTACGGACAATGTAAGGCCAACAATCAGTCGCCCCATTTATTACACCCCTCCCCCCGCAGTCGCTCTTCAGACTGCGTCTCTCTCCACCGACAGCATCATCATTACATCCTTCCAGCGTGCACCATTCTGCTGCCATGAGGACCTTGTTACCATGCCTCGCTCTGAACTTGTGCAGGTTGCTCAGGATATCAATGGACGTCTGCCAAAGGCACTGCAAATTGCATGCGGTGATGATGTGGAAGATGCAGATATTCGGGGAGCGATAGAAGTCCTAACTGGGATCCGCGCAGAGACAGCACGAGAATCAGTTCCACCTATTCCAGGCGCACCTAGAGCGGTACGGATAAAGAGCATGAATGCGATATTAGATGAAGCACCCTGGGATGTGGATATCGACTCGAGTGCAACGGACGAACGAACGGTCATTTCTCCTTCTAGCCCGCTTGCCATGCGTCGCCCGCGCTTGGAAATGCTCAGGGAGGAACAAGAACAAGAGGAACCTTTGAAAAAACGAAGGCGTGCTTCACCAGAGAATGCTAATACCCCACCTGGTCGTGTGCCTACTACGTCGGGCTCACGCCTCCTCGAGAGTCTTGATGTTTCAGCCTCTCCTCTGCTTGCGTCAGACAGCAGCGAAGGTCGTTAGCTCCCTGACCAGCACTCAAGGGAATGTACAGCGTCGACGCAGTGCTCGTCTCTCCAGAAACAACTCTCATCCGCGCGAGGTTATAATTCGCCTCCCCTTTGCATCTTCACCCACAGCACAACCTACCCGCATGCTCCGTTCGCACTCCCAAAAGACAAGCCTTACAACGCCTGTGCAGGTCTCGAATCTCAAGCGTGCTCAATCCGATGCCAATGTCACTCTTACACGCCCTAAGTACCATTTTAGACGCGGGCGCGCTGCACCGAAAGTTGTCGATCCTGCCGAATTCGTGCCAGATGCAGAGAAGATACTGCAGGTACTACCGATGATTCCCACAGGGTCTAGGCTTGCTGTCGATTTTCTCACTCCTAGGGCCCGTAGTGCGAGCGCGTCAACTACGGCCTCGCAGAACAAGAGTGAAATCGAATCAAGGGTCGTGGAGGCGATGGGGGGAGATGGTGGTATGAGTTGGAGCACGCCCGATGCATAGCGTCATCCAGTTTTTGAAGATGAGGAGTTTCGAGTCATTTCATCTAAGGCCATATAATCATTGGACTTATTGCGGAATGGATGCTATGTTACAACAAGTATTAAATACAACTTCGGACATAGTAATCTGGTTAAGATGGTCGTTTCTCGTTCGACGAAGGAATCGACCTGATTTTGTGTATGTGATTCTGGTAACCTTGATACGCATTGCGGGCATCACGAAGCAATGACTTCAGGAGTTCCTTCTCACCAGCTTTAAACTCGGACAGGTCACTAGAGCTAAGGTCGAACGACTTGTCTTCACCGTGTTTTTCCAGTTCCTCCACTACTTTGTCTCTCCATGTATTCCATACTCTTGTTTCGTTTGGAATGAAACATTGTAACACCTCTTTTGGCTTGAAGTCAGAATTCGGAGGCCTCCGGGTATTATCGCTAAGGACCAAACATGCAAAAACTGCCTGAGCAGCTCTGTTTTTTAGTGCAATTTTCAACATGGGTGGATGACGAAGCGCTTTCAATAGGATATCGGTTTGTATTTTCTCCGGCTCCAGTGACGACAAGAATGAGTTGTATGCCCATGAGGCTACAAGCGATACGATGAACATGATCTGACCGAACGTCGTTGCCTGAGGGATAAGAAGGAGCTGGAGAAGGAACTGTGCGAGGAGGAGAAGCGAGCAGAGTCCGATTCGTCTGAACTCTGGGCCGCCAGGGATTTTCAGATCAAATTTCCCTTTGGTTATTGGATCGATGTCTTTCTCTGCACCTCTGAGGATGACTACATCGGTTCGCATGAGGAGTATCCCGTCTGCAGGCGGTACACCCGGAGCTGCTTCCTTAACGGAAGCAAATTCGACTTGGGCAGTGCCCATGACAAGGCAAGATACGCCACTTGAAATGATTCCTAACATGATGAGGGAAAATGCTAGCCAATCTCCTGAAGCAGCAGAAGTAATGCACGTCGCGAGACTGATGGTAATGGGAATAGCAGCCAAGAGAGCATGATGGATGCTCATCATAGGCGCCCGGTCCAAGTGCTTCACATCTGCGTCTCCGACATCGACGATGGTGACGGACAGAGGTGTAGTCTCCCTCCCTTCCACTTCCGCCTCTGGCTCAACTTCTTTCGACCTCTGTACTATGAGGTACGCCAGGTGACCGGTGATCATCTCTGTACCCGAGAAAACACCCCAATAACGAGGGCCAGGTTTTCCATCTAGCCCAAATACCTCTGCGGGTGTGAGATTTGGGCCAGGGAAAAGACCATCCCAGAATCTTGAGCTTGAGAGCTGCCCGAACTTTTTGGCGACGGTATAGCTTCCCGGTGAATTATACCAGCCTAGCCAGCGCCTCCCACGATAAAGATGCACAGTAGCCATCGCAGCGATAACTTCATCGCCACCAAGGAATCCAGCAACGTTAGATGTATTGAGATTGAAATTCGACTGGTTAATGGGTACAATAAAGGTGGGCAGAATGGTGGTATTCATGGTGTTGTGAAACTATCTCCGCGAGCCGAACATGCTCATTTGGCATTTACATACTAGCCTTTAGGCGCTAACTTCCAGTTGGGATGTAATTTTACTCCATCAAAGATGTGTTGGACAACGACAACGACAACGACAACGACAACGAGATACACACTGCGTCTTACAATGATCATCGACAGTGCACACGTCGCATGCACGAATTGGTAGGAATCATATGTCTCAAGTACCTTTAAATTGTGCTATCGTCAGTCCTTCATTATCATCCTTTTTCGTATCTTCTCATGATCATCTTTCACTCATAACAGCACCTGGACGCGTTCAAGTTTACTTTTGATATTTTGCATCATGATTGACTACTTCTTATGTAAGTGTAATACACACATTCTCCCTGGTATATGTTTGAAACAGGCGCAGGCTGGCTACCTCGGGCTGATGTTGGTGCCATCATTGGCAAATTCTCGAGATTTGATCGGGATGCCTGTCACTTTATCAGCCACTGAGCCGAGGTCGCAGAGACCACATATGTTGTTGAAAGTTCATGTGTACATGATGTACTGTAAGTACCTTCATCTTCGTACGCGCCATCCCTACACCATCCCTTCAAACCTCTCAACACATTAGAAAGAAGTTAAACGTCCGTCATCAGCTCGGTCTAAGGGAGGCTACCATCGGCACGACAACGTCCAGCTTGCTCCATTGCTTCCGAACTTTCCATCATAGCCTTGCACTTAGATCCTTCAGGTTAGCACTCGATCACCATCTATACATGCGGCTTTATATGCTACCAAAAAGCCAACAATCAAGCTTAAGCTTGATCTCGGATAGAAAGGAGCTCCCGGAAATTGGCACTGGTTGACAGACCTCTTATCAACAAAAATCATCATGAGAAGCGCCAGCTCATGACAGGTGTGCGCAGGGCCGCCTTCTCGCACTCGCCGTTCTCTGCATGGATATAGTGCTGCTCATTCACTTGCAAAAAAAAATAGTGGATTAGTCTCTTGCGTGTGCGAATTCTCTCATGATATATACTTTGTCGGGTCCAAGTGCCCGGAGGGCTGTAAAGGCCCGTTCCCAATGTATACAAGGCCAACCCCGGGTGCTACCAGGTTGTTCCGTATGCTTGTATATATCTGGCTACTAGGCCTTGCTTCTCTGACTGTCACTCAGGCTCCCGCCACCTCAGTAGGTCTGTGACTAATTTACCCGACAGGCTCGCTTCTTTTAGCTGTCTCATTGACACCAGTTCCATGGTTTTCGCGCCACACTATTGCCGGTCAAGCTGTGTTTTTCTACATCGTGTTCCTTCAGTCAGTGAGTGTGGCAATGCAGATTCCATCATTTCCGTTAAACAATAAGACACGTTCTAGCATCGGCAGGGTAGAATCTACAGACTAGACAGTGGTTTCCATGCCGATCGGAAAATTATGATCAATCGCCGAAGCTCAGTCTTCCATAATTCTATCACACTCGCGAGTATATTTGATTCTTGCATTGACTATTACTCTTCCTAACGCGAATTAATGACCCAAATGATGCGGTTATGACTTCCCGAGTGCGACGATTCTCTCGAGACACTATACGACCACATGTACTGACGTTTTAGGGTGCATGTATCCAACGGAGAAGTCGAAACATAAATGCATAAAGGGAGGCGACTTTTAAAAAGCAAATTGCACCTTGGGCTTCAACTTTCAGCTCATTCCTTCCTCAGCTACACTACCACACTTCATACATCTCACAAGCACATCATGAAATTTTCATCCGTCCTCTTCTCCATCTCCGTCTTTGTCCTCTCCGCTTTAGCACAAACGACAGAAACCCTTTCGTATGATAGCACGTACGATAACGGCTCCCTCTCCCTTTCCAGCGTTGCTTGTTCAGATGGTGCCAACGGGCTTCAGACAAAGGGATACACGACCCTTGGATCACTTCCCACATTCCCTAACGTCGGCGGTGTCTACACCGTGACGGGGTGGAATTCCGCTGCGTGCGGGGCTTGCTATAACGTCACATACGGAGATAAATCTGTTGCTATCCTCGCGGTGGACGTATCCAAAACCGGCTTCACTGTTTCAGAGACGGCCATGAACACCTTGACCGGTGGCCTGGCCGTTGAGCTGGGAAGAGTGGATGCTACGGCAACCCAAGTGGATGCGTCAGTATGTGGCTTGTAGTTGCATTGTGTCGGAGTGTATCGGTATGTATGCTGTTGCATGTCTGATATGCAAGCTGAACATTTACCTCTTCAGGAAGTTTCCTTCTGCGTCTGGACTCTGAGTGCCAGATAGACAACAATGTTCAAGCTGAGACTTGGAACTTACGGTTTCGATGGACTTGAATCGCATATCGAAATTAACTGAATAAACGGACAACGGGTTCTTTGTGGAGTGGCTTCTGTATGTAGACTACGGTTATTTGGACTTATCGACTTTGTACTTACCTGCATCGTCCATGGATAGTTTACATAGTGTCATAGAGTTGACAGTGTTACAGACCAATTGTAGATATCGCAGCATATTCCAGACAGCATTTTGCGCAAAACTCGAAGGAGGATGATGCGGACCTGACTTGAGCGGTACCCCGACATGCGAGGTAATATCAATGGCATGATGTTCCTGAACGTTAGCGAGAGCTTGCCTATAGTAGGCTATTGTACATGAAATAATACAACTGCAGGCTTTAGCGTGTGTAAGTTATAAATCCTACACCACTGACTAGCAAGATTTAATCAAAGCGCATCCCACCATCGATCGTGATCTACACAGTTGTCAGTCTTCGTGCACAGGCTCTCAAAGTAGCACTTACACTTTGCCCTGTTGTTTCACATCAGCAAGACAGGCTGCAAGAAGGTTCTATAATGCTTACCTGTGATAAAATGAGATTCTGCGGAGGCAATGTAAGAGACCAGTCCTGCAATGTCGTCTGGAGTCCCCAAATACCCGACACATGTATTCTTCTTAGACTACCAAGAAAGAAGCAAACTTGAGCGAAGTCATGAGAACAGCCCTGTTATCTTGTCTTACCTTTTCGTTATAGCAACTAGGGTCAGATGACCCCGTCAGCTTCATGCTTGCCTCATTTAGTTCGTCGACTTTGAAGCTCAGCTTGCATCACGAGATATCTTGTTTATGGCCTTACTCACCCATAGCCGTCATGATTGGTCCTGGAGCATAGGCATTCACGGTGATACCGTGGCATCCGAGTTCAATAGCTGACATGTGATCACTTGTCAAGCTTGTCGGAATGCAATGTAGATAGACACCATACCAGCAGATTGTGTAATCCCTCGGACTGCAAACTTGGAAGCAGAATACGCGCTAAGGTATTGTTCACCTGTGCGAAAGAATGTATTAGTGTTAAACCCTACGAATGGACACACACACCTCTTTTCCCTACTAGGGAGCTGGCGCCGATGATGCGTCGACCTCGTTTGTGGGTCTCATTCAAGGCAATCATCTTTCGAGCGGCGTATTTGTAGCTTAAAAACACGCCCGTGACATTGACGGCAAAGATCTTTTCCCAGTCTGCCAATGTAGCTAGTCAAGCAAAGTCAGTACGACGTTGCAGATAGGATTTACAGAGCCAAATTTCTTACTTTCTACCAATGATGCGACTGCAATGATACCGGCATTTGCAACCATCTTAAAGTGGCATCAATGGTGAGAATAAATCGATGCTCTGGCATCTATACTCACGACATCCAGACCACCAAGCTCGGTCACAATGCTGTCCATCATCTTACGAACGTCGTCATCGACTGTAACATCTGCAAGAAGTACGCAGGCCCTTCGTCCTGCATAAGTCCTCGTTATCTCCCGTGCGACTTCCTCGAGGTTCGACTTGTTGGTAGGAATATCACTGAGTCCAATGTCGAAACCATCAGCGGCCAGCCTAAGAGAAATGGAACGGCCAATGCCTTGACCAGCACCGGTGATTAGAGCAACCCCTTTAGACATGGTAGCCAGCGATGTAAGTCAATGATGGGAATCATGTCTGCAACCTGAGATTATAACTGTAAGACCAAGCGTCCATCAGGTCATGGGTCTCAGTCCTCGAACATGTCAAAAATAGTACTCGGTAGCAAAGGTCCGAGATACGGCCTTATGACAGGGTATAACTAGCTTTGTAGTCGATGATATGAGTGATTTTCTTGAACGAACAAAACATATGAAGCGGTATGATCTATCAATAATATTAGTGAGACCGAGGAATTGGATTATCATATCATGATTGACCTTTCTGAGACCTGTATTTCAAAGATGAATTTCTCGTCCATTGATCATATACATCCACAAGAACTACAACTCACCGAAGTCTGACAGTGGCTCTGCAAGTGCAAGTTCTACGTTCGCTGAGACGGCATCGAAGTTGGCGCTGATGAAGTTCAAATTTCCATCAGCTCTGATAAATTATCTGTAGGAATGTCACCCACCGCTCCTCTGCATGATAGGCGACATCCTAGCATTCTCATTGCAGGGTTTTCGTTCACCAATGGATGGTCATATCACGATTAGCCAGGGCTGATACATGATGGTGTGTACTAGTACTAGTATGAGCCCAGCTGAGCGCTGAATTCATAATTAACTGCATTTCCTGTTCTAATAGTACTCGGATTTGCGTTTTTATATGCATCATTTGCGAACAACATTCAGACTCTCGCCAAATTGTCAATGGTGCGTAGATCCCTGGATCTCGTGTGCCAATTGACTCGCGTACATTCAAACGACTGTACCGAGTGCTTACTATTCATTAGGTTTGTGGCACTGCCAATCCAAAAGTGGCCCTATAATTAGATTAGCAGGCCCAGTACCCACGTACGAACGCCCGCAATTTTGCTCTCAACACTCAACTACTACCCACAACCTACAACGAGTCATAATCACTTACTAGCTTGCTTCTCATGAATCGTGAAGCTCAACTTGAGAAACGTTTTAACGACATTCTCAAAGGCAGAGTTCCTGCAAATGCACAAAACTACGCTCACTTTTTGGAAGCGATTTGTGCACAGCAAGACCCTGCAGCCTGCATCCACAAAATCGTTGAGAGCTCCCAAGGCTCAACCGCAGTTCAGGCTGCCATGCGTCACAATACTAACTCCCAGTTCCTCAATGGTCCTGCAACCAAGCTTCTGCTATATCTCTTCCGAGCAACAGACCTCGGTGACGTCTTGGATCACTTACTCATCGCCATAGTTGATCCTCCCATTTTTTGGACTGCCTTTACCCAAGCATTTGATCAAGGTGATCTCAATGAGCCAGCCCAGGAAGCATTCGCGGCACTCCTCCTTCGCCTCATGTGCCTCACTACGGGGAATACCTCGTGTTATCGTGACATCGCAAAGAAGTCTAGTATTCTTACGAGGCTTCTCGACTCATCGCAATGGAATGTCAAAGACATTGGCTACCGTATCCAACACATCCTTTCCACATTCAATTCTGGTACACCTGTCACTGCAGTCGGGGGACCTGGTGGTCGCCATGATAATGATTTCAACGACTTCAGGGAGATCTCCATTCTTCCAACTGCAGACGAGATTCTCTGCCAGCAGCCTCCTTTCATTCGCCCGAGCAGCGTATTGGAGGATCCTGATGGCGAGGCAACTCGTACAGCTGACTACCTGGATAATACCTTCCGCTTGCTGCGCGAAGACATGTTATATGAGATAAGAGAAGAGCTCCAGACCGCTATAGGGCAGAAGAAAGGCCGTCACCGTGGAATCACCATCGGCGGTGTCACACTCAACGGCGTTTACAGCGGTGCGGATGATAGAAAAACTCGGTGGGGCATCAAACTCAAATGCCAAGATGATTTCAAGTCGATGAAGAATGTCCCCGACAAGCAGCGCAAGACTTATCTTGAAAAAGATCCAGCAGGCGTTAGAATTCTCAAACATCAGTCTCTCGTATGCATACTTTCGGGAAATAAAGTAATCAGTCTCGCAAGCGTCAATCGCGTCGAGGCACTTCTTGCGCAGAAACCACCTGTCGTTGTACTTCAGCTAGAAGGGGAGGCTAGCATCACAAAAACTCTTTTTCAGTTGCAATCATCCAATGCCATCCGGCTCGTTCAGATTGACACTGCCCTCTTTGCATTCGAGCCGGTCTTGAAGGCTCTGCAGAAGACGCAAGTCCTTCCGCTGTCGGAGGAGCTCCTGTTCTGGAAAGACGGGAACACCATCGGTAGCGCTGCGGTAACCGCGGCTCAGGTTACGCGTCCACTTGCTATGAATCCGTCCATGGATTTGAAGCAGCTTCTAGGGCTTTCATCTAGTATTGTCCTTGATAAGTCGCAGGCGGCATCGCTATTGGCTGGACTTACGCAGAGGCTTTCCCTTATCCAAGGCCCTCCAGGTAGTGTTCATCAGCCACTCACTCATATCTGTCTTGTTGACATTCCAAAGGGACTGGAAAATCATTCATTGGTGCGCTGCTTGCGAAGGCCATCTACGATCACACCGAGCAGAAAATCCTTGTAGTCTGCTATACGAACCATGCCCTAGATCAATTCCTGGAAGATCTCATGAAGATTGGGATTCCGGACATTAGCATGGTCCGCCTCGGCGGCAGACCAAATGCGCAGGTCGCTCATCTTGGCATTGCGGGCCAGAAGAAAGAGCGTTTCATTCGATCCAAAGCTGATTGGACTATTATTGACGATTTGAAAAAGTCGTCGACGTTTCACTGCAAAGCTCTAGAGACCGCCATGGATAGATTCATAGCTTCGAAGATTAGTTTCACGGACATCCTCACGTACATCGAATTCGAAGAACCGACCTACTTCAACGCATTCCACGTATCTGAATACGACGCTTCGGGAATGACTCGTGTCGGCAAGGACGGCAAAGCTGTCGATACTGAGGAACTCATCTTTCGATGGGCCAGAGGATTTGACGCCGGGCAGTTCAAAGCCGAGCCCAATGTACGTGAGGCTCGAGATATTTGGAAAATGCCTCCAGATGCTCGCCGGGACGTGATAGAGAGATGGAAGTCAGAGATACGCAAATTGATCCTCGAGGAGATTTACACACTTGGCACAAACTACAACGGATGCCAGGATCAACTGACACGCAAGTTCGGGGAAGCCAGGGTGGCAACCCTTATGGGAAAGAGAATCATTGGATGCACAACGACTGGAGCAGCTATGTTTGCGCAGGACATTCGTGCGGCGAATCCTGATGTCCTTCTCGTTGAAGAGGCTGGTGAGATCCTAGAAAGCCACGTCCTCACCGCGATGGGTGAGACCACAAGCCAGATGATTCTCATCGGTGACCACAAGTACGTGAATCAATAGTGATTTTCAGTACATCTCGCTGAAGTTGACTCCTTACAGGCAACTGCGTCCCAAAGTCAACAACTACAAACTGACTGTTGAAAAGGGTGATGGGTTTGAGCTCAACAGATCACTATTCGAGCGCCTGGTTCTCAAAGGCTTTCCTCATGAAACTCTGACAGCCCAACATCGTATGCGTCCAGAAATTTCAGCATTTATCAGGAAAATTACGTACCCTGACCTCACGGATGCTGCCAAGACCCAAGGCCGTGACAATATTCGCGGTATTCAGAACAACGTCATCTTCATTGACCACACTCATCCTGAGGAT